AAATTTTTTTTCCCCTGAAAGGGGTCCCTGGCACCAAAATGTTTGAGAACCCCTGCATTAGAGGACCAGGAATGATGCCAGAGATCAAAATTCGAAAACCTGATTGCTGTATACCATTTGTTACACCCATCGATCAAAACGGATAAATAACGCTTTCTATGACACCGTGATGTTTGTAAGCACTTTCGTGATGATGGTGTAATGGAAAATGTCCTAGTCTTCAATAAATGTTGTTGATGTGTTACCAGTCCTCGTACAACTGAAAAATCATCCACGCACTCCCACATCTTACAGAAAGTGAATTTTGGATGTCATTCCATGTGTATCATGCCCATTACTCATATAAAAAAAACCTGCATGGTTCATATACTGCAGCAATTATATATATCTTAATATAGCTTTATTATTAAATTGGCCATAATTACCTTCTGTGTTTCATGTAAGCACAATTATACATGTCCTATACAAAATCAGACCAATTATGGCCCCTTTCATGCTAAATAGCACACATACAACTTTTTGTGAAATTTATGAATACTGTAAGAAGTCTTATGAGTTGTACATGTTTTGATGACGAACATCACTTATATGCAAAACAAAAGGAAGCTGGAGCGCTGCTGGTGTCCCTTGTATCCTCTGGTGCTCTTGGAAGGGTTGAAAGTTCATAAATATTGGAAAGAAATCCAAGTCCAGGCACTTCACATATATGCAAAAGGCCTTCACTTATATGCAATTTCAAATTTTTGAAATTGTAAACTGCAGAAGCTGGTTGGAGGATGTACAGTAGTGCCATTTTCCTTCAGGTTTTAAACAGTAAATTTGAAATCCGGAAATCTCTGAGACAGTGTTACAATAGGAATTCTAAGAGTAAAATATGAACAATGTAGTTGACAACACTGTTATAGATCTGAGTGCAACTTTGTAGCAAACACTGACAGAGTTAACATTCTACACTGTTCTGGTGTTGACTTAAGACTTTAAAAAAAAAATGAAAATCCTTCATCATGGGATTCTTCTCAGCCTTAGGAGTCGGCATGACACCACCCTGGTGTTGACAGAACACCTTTTTACAAAGAAGAACAAAACTAAGGAACTTTTTTCTTACTAGTGTTCAGAATTACCTACTTTAAAAAAGAACTGTAAAATAAACTGACAAATCATTTAATCTGAAAAGTATAAATTCACTTTGAAATAAACACATCACTCTATTACTCTTTCATAACTTTATTTCAAAACAATCCAGAAAGTTAAACTGTAACTTTAGTCTTGGACCATAGTAGAATTTTGTTCATTGTAAAGCAAAAATAAAGGCAAAATGCATATTTTTTTTATTACGAACAAGCCCCTTTACATCATACTGTAGGTTAACCTTTAAAATAATCAATGAATGCACAATATAGGCATTTATGTCATCAGAATTACATGAGCTGCTAATCAAATGGTCTGTAATACTCCAAGTCCTGCATGTAATGTCAGTGAAGTTGATTCAGTACCTTCGACTCTCTGCAACAGTACAGCAGTGCTTGAGTCAACAACATTCAGCAGATGAAAAACAGTTGCATGATATCAGTGGATCAGTTGTGTCCAGTTGCTAACAGTAGAGTTCCATAGAGCAGAAAGGGCTGTACAGAGCCAACTTATTTGAAATGGCGTGCTGGTTCTCTAGACAACAACACAAAACCAGACCAATTACAATTAATACAATTTGTGACTCCTTCATGTTCATGACAGGTGTTATGTCATGTTTATGACAGTGTCATGTCAGTCTTATGCACACCCCTTCAAATAAAGTGTTACCACTTTCTTAAGTTTAAGTGATCATCTTAAACTTCCGTGAGACAAACAAGAAACTATTTTAGTTAGATTAAGACTTGAATTTACTCTCTTTCCAAGTAAATTAAAGACTTCATTCATCCAAAAGTGTTAATTTTGTCATTAATTATTAACCAGTAAGTGTTTTGCTCATGTTTGGAACACTTAATGAAGATATGTTTAATGAAATCTAAGACATTTCTGCCCCTTCATCCAGCCTATTCAACTACCACTTCCAAAGCCACAGAAAGGTATAAAGGAAATCAAAAGTAACCCAGACTCTAGTGATTAAACTTTATATTATTACAATTTTAACTCAACATTATTTACAAAATATTAATCTTCGATGCACGTTCATGCAACCAACACCTGCTCTCGCATCAAAAACATTGCACGAGTTCTCATGAAAGTATGTTGGAAATTAATATTTTATAAATTAAGTGGTGTTTTGTTTTGTTTTTTTGCTGTTGACACAGCACATGCGTAGTTTAACAAAAAAGTCGCATGGGGTACTTCAGTGATGTACTTTTATATCGTTCTGGGGCTTGAAAGTGATAATTGCGTTAACGGTCAATGGAGGGACAGAAAGCTCTTAGATTTCATAAAAATATCTGCATTTGTGTTGTGAAGATGAAAGAAATTCTTACATGTGTGTGTGTGTGTGTATATGAAGAGTTCAGATGCAAAAGCCTCTAAATGCCATTTGAAATTTTCTTCTTTAATGATGATTTATGTCAAGCTTGTATATTTAAGTTCAATGATTTCACTTAAATGGCAATGATAATTACCTATTAATTGTTATTTAAGTGAAATTACTGAACTTGAATATACAAGTTTGACAAAAATCATCATTACAGAAGAAAATTTCAAATGGCATTTAGAGGCTTTTGCATCTGAACTCTTCATACATATATATTAGGGGTGGAGCCGAATCCGATACGGTATTCGGAAAGGTACAAATAATGTGTTTTTTACGAATACTTATTCCGAACAAATACTTAAAAAAATATTTGTATTCGGGAACAAGAAATAGGCTACTTTATATCAAAAAGCTGCGTTCCTCACGAGACCGCAGTGCGCGAGTTGAGTGAGTGACGTTCAGGAAGAGGTGACTGACACAGGCTGCTCCACACAGCAACAGAGAGGGCTCGGCTGAGCGAAAAAACACTTAACTGCATCACTATTTTTGTTGAATAGGTGTTTGTACCTTAACTATGTTCCGGTGGCAGTTTATAACTTTCGGGAAGCGGAGTTTGATCGGGAGTATATTCCATTATTGACGTCTGCAGACGGGTGCTCTCATGTTCGCTCTGTTTACGTAGCTCTGTTAGCTCGGTAACGGTAATTATTTGTTTCATGGCTTGATTGAATTCCAATGTAGAATGTGGTCTGTTATTATAACAGGCCGCTGATTATAAGTATAACACACCGTTGCTATGAAAAACAGAGCGTTGCCATGGATTCTAAACGTAGAGACAGAACGGACTATTTTTCTTTTTTTAGCGGGAGCGATACAATCGTTTTATAAATCAATAAACTCCTTTTTATATCCATATTTTGAGTCAAATTATTGATTTATTTGGTAGGTAGCCATGTAATAAGCGGGGTAATGTAGAGCGAGGCGTAGTTATAGCGAAAACCCTTCAGGCTTCGCGTCGGGCTCATAATCAACCTCCTCACTATAAATTATCCATATAACTTATTCTGTCTGCACAACGTCCTCCACCGTGGTGTTGGGGTTCATAATGTTCACAATTGTATTTTATTAGTTGTTGGTTTAACCATGGTTCATGAGGTAATGGCTGACTGTTATTTTCTTTTCAATGACTTTTCTTGTTACATGTTCATTGCTGGATTTATAGAAAAAATCAACCAATATTGCATATCCATAATTATTATAATGGATATAATTAAAGAATCCATACACTATAAAGTATTTTTAAAGATTTTTATGCCTATTTAGAATTTTACTCGAATACAAATACAAATACTTTTCCTCCCTGAACAAATACAAATACAAATACAAATAGCAGCTGCTTTGCACACCCCTAATATATATATATATATATATATATATATATATATATACACACACATTTGAAACTTCTTTGAACATTTGAATAGTTGGTTGCCATTGAAGTCTATTATGTGTATAAAAAAAAATAAGAAAGAGAGACATGGATATCTTGGATGACATCAGGCGTTTGAAAGTGAACTAATACTTTAAGATATATGCCTGACATAAATATTAAATTAGCACTATTTCCTTGTTTCAACCCGTTCTCATTCCAAGGCGTCATCTAACTGACGCTTTTGACCATGCGTCAACATCCGACACACATGGCACCCTTTAGCGTCAATATGAGACGCGCCTCCTAGTGGTCTATCCCTAGCCCTACCCCAGACCTAAACCTACCCGCGTCATCTATCTGACGCTAAAGGTTGCCATGTGCATCGGATTTAGACGCATGGTCAGAAGCGTCTGTTAGATGCCCTAGGAAGAGCGTCATCTAACTGACGCTCAAGGTTGCCATGTGCGTCGGATTTAGACGCATGGTCAGCAGCGTCAGTTAGATGACGCCCTAGAATGAGAATGCGTTGTATGTTTTTACATCATGGAAATCTATATTGCTTTTGTATGCAGGTCATACAGTATATGACATATATGATTAAAATACGATATAATGCAATTTATGTGGATTTTGTAGCATATATGTCCCTTAAAATATTATGTTGGAACATATAAGGATCACAGGTGTTTTAGCAAACCTTTTCCAAATGGGTATATTACAGTAGATTGATTCTAAGTTGGCAATGTCATATGTAGCTGTGAGCTTGGCAATGAGACGCTTTTCTTGATAAAGTAGTACGGGCCAACAGCTGTCTTGAGTTCTCCATTCCCGGACTCTGTGCCCAGTCGAACCCATAACCATCAGTGTCGGACAGGATGTAGAGATGTAGCATATGAGTCGTGCTTATGTATAAAGTTAAATAGTCCCTTGTCACCTTCATTTTCATTATATACTGTACAGTGCAAAAGAGCGCTAACGCGACTAATGATGGTAAAAAAGTTGTATTTGTCATTGAATAATTTATTCTAGAGATTTAGTTGAAAAACGCTGATTAACTAGTAATGAAACAAGTAAAGTATTTATGAGTCACTGAATCATTAATTTAAACAGTTTAAAAAAAAAACAATTAATTTGTATTAATTAAACGTTTTAAATAGACTGCAGCAATTAACATGCTGTCTGAACCTCTAGTAAATTACATTATCTAGTTCAGTTTTCTGTTCAGTAGCATGCACAGACACAAACTAAATCTTGATTCTCAATTTATCCAGAACCATGCAGCTCTATTTGTATGCAAGTCATATATGTTTGGAATGAAACAAAGGAGAGTAAATGACCTACCTAAAACAACAATAGCCTATCTATAAGATAAATATTTTAGCTAGAATCACATTGTGAGTCATATCACACATTGGAATGACTGGAACAGATAAAGATTGATATCTTTTGAGGCAGGTCCAGTTCCAGGGAGATTGGCTGCTCACTGCAGTGAAGGGTGAAGGAGCGGCAGTCCGGATGGAGAGGGTGGGACAGCACAGACTTTCAGGATACAGCCATCGGCTCACAGGAAATAAGCCAGGAAAGAGAGGCAGAAGGCTTGCACTTTCATCTGTTTCTAAATGAAAAGTGAGACTGCTGTGAGTCTGGAGAAATTAGAGGGTTTTTTATGTAATCGTTCACCATTAATTGACACAATTTTTGGTGGGCAAACATCACTAACATCAGTCATCATTAACAATAGATTTGATGGAATCTGATGTTTTGTGGTAGTGTTTGGTTTCTCTCACTCTGAAATATTCCACTCTATTGGATACATATTAAAAATATATGGTAATGCCAAACTAAAAACATTTTATACCTTTGTGTACAGTCACTGATCAATGACAAACTTATGTTCTGTATTTGGTAACTGCATTTATATAACGCTTTCAACAGACCCATGGCCACCAAAGCGCTTAACATATACCTTATATTACCTATTCATTCACTCAAATATACTATTTCCACCCTGTTAGTATATCCATTCTGTTTAGGTTATTTTCTTTAGGACAGGGGTGTCCAATCCTGCTCGTGAGGGACACTGTGTCCTGCAAAGCTTAGCTCCAAATCCAATAAAACATACCTGAACCCTAAACTTGGTCTCACTATAAGCATATACTACTAGAATCTTCCAGGCAGGTGTTGAGGCAAGTTAAACTCTGCAGGACAGTGGCCCTCCAGGACCAACTTTGGACAACTATGTCACTTTTATAATTACATTATAAATAATAAAGTTTACAAGCTTGACCACAGCATATTTCTGACCTTATTTTAAACTTTCACTTTTTTTTTACTTACTTAAATTTCAAAACAAGTTGTCACAGTTTATTAAATATTTTCAAGCTATTACTTGGTAGAATGAGGGCCTTTTGCATCACCAGATTTTCACTGCAGCAGTGTTTAAACCTAACTAATATGTTTCATAAGCAACATGACCTTGAAGGAATGAAGTTAAAATGAAGTGATTGTTAAAATGATTGTTAAATGAAGTCTCAGGCTTGTGATTGTTGCTTTATGTTCATAACCCACTGCTTCACACAAAGTGAAAAACAGTATAATAATTAGCTAATTTTCTCAGAACAGGCATTTGCCAATGACCGTACTTCGAACTTGCATCTGGCGTGACGACTAGCCAAAGAAAACTGGATTGGCTCATTTCTTTTTGGCAAGTGTTTGGCCTTCTCCAAGCCAAAAAGCAGTCTGTACTTTTTGCCAAGCAAACTTCCCTGTCCTTTCCTTTATATCCCAATAAACAAAATGGTGAATTTTATATTTAATCATGCTCTCCATAAAGACATTTTTCCTAATATCACAGGCCATGCAAGCCTGTAGGAAACTAAGCTTCAAGGTAGTCAAAGAAATTCGAACTCAAAATAATTGGCAGCTCAGGCTGAATGGGATGGAACATATTTAAAGTAATTCATAGCATACACTCTTTCCATGGACTGTTTGTATTCCCTAATTTATGGGTTTGATTTGTTGTACTTTCTCTACTTTCGTAATAGGTTTACATTTAAGAGCCAGATAAGTTAGTTTATCAGTCTACAAACTTAAAGAGGTTTTCACTGGTTAAACGTGTGTCTGGAGTTTACAGACTTCAGGATGCCATTGGGTTAATGTTCAAACTTTGGTGTGATGCAAACTTTGAGTCACTGTTTCCTGGATATTTGTGTACTTCCTGTAAACCTGTAGAAAATATTTTGTTGTTTGCGCTTTTCCCGATCCCTTCCCTTCATCCCAAGCAAAATAATCAAAAGCACATGTGAAACCAGATGAAAATACTCTGGCAGGAGGATCAACACACCCCTGTGTGTGTTCATTTACTCCTCTAATTTTAGCTGACACTCCATTGCAGTTCTGAAGAGCCTATTTTGAAGGAGGTAAAAGTGTTCATTCATCAAGGACTGGGTGCGTCCAGCTGGATGCCAGTTCCATATGAGATGTAGGTCATGGAGCGCTATATGACTAGCAGCATGTTTACACAGGAAAAATCTCAGAAACCAGACGTCTGAAAATAGGCTAGTGCAACACATCAGGTTAATATGTCTGCAAGATGTCAGTTGTCTGACCTCTAGCTACTGAGCTTCTAGATAAAACACTTGACCCTAAGATCCAATGGTTTTCATTGAGGTCCTTAACTGGCTTACTGTGTAACAGTATTCTCGTGTTATCCTCTGAATTAGTGTCTGTATTAGAGAGGAGAGTCGGTGTAAACCACAGGTCACAGTCAGGATCAGCAGCTTGTGGAGAACTTTAGGCCACATACACACTGAGAAGTTTCAGGAGTGACAACCACATTTAAATAAAGGAATGAATCCATAAATTATACTTGTGTGTCTGTGTGCTGAAGAGGATTAAGCTTTAAAAGGTGAATTTATAACTGAATTTGGAACTTCTGACCCAAACTAGCTTTTCATTGTTTCTTTTAAGAGATTGAACTTGAATGTTTCCCATCAACAACTTTATTGTCCATTGTGCCACAGTTTTAACTGTCACTTAAGTACACATTTAAGTTTCTAGCGCTGCCAATTGTGACGTCAGTGGCAACATTTGATTTATCTGTAACTGAAAACCTGACTGAAAACCTTTTGCATTATATTATAAACTCTTTTAAAAAATGTCATGTCTGTGACTTCCTTAAGTGAATGCTAAGAAATGTAATGCATGAAGACAAAATTTAAGGTTTGATGTTTAAAAAAATATTATCCAAACCAACAGCTACATTTGTTTACAGGCCAGAGTTCACAACTCTGTTTCAAAAAAAAAATGGCTTGATAAATATAAATGAACTTGTCTAATCGTAGCTTGTGCTATTTTTATGTTCAGCTGCATCTCGTGGAAAATTTTACAGAGGTTATGGTTTTTTTGTTTTTTTTTTTCTGTTTGTTTTGAGGTCCATCTTGTAGGACGAGGGCCAAGCGACAGCCAGAAGCAGAAGACATGACGTGGCCCTTTCCACATATAATGAGGGGTTCCCTGTCTACAATAACAGGCAGCGCTGAATTTTTCGGCATGTGTGTTTTTCTCATTTGAAAACAAAGACCTTGGTAGCAGAGCTCTGACTCATCTCAACTTGATTTGCTGATTTCGGTTTCCCTTGTGAGTACAAGAGGGAACAGGGAAGAACCAGATTCAACTGGTTTTCAACTGTTTTGTAACTGAAAAGAGATCTCGGAGGGAGTACAGTATATAAACTATCCCAACAGAATAATCATTGATGTAATTTGAATTGTTTGGTAGGCTATTTAGTATTTTTCAACTTAAAAATGTGATGTTTTATTTAATGTGTTACCTGACATTTTTTTTTTGTAAAATATTCTAAATACTTGTGTATAATACTTGTGTACACCATTTCTTTCAGTACACTAGTAATTACAAGTAAATTTTATTAATACAAAGAAATGGCAAGTGACGTATTAAATAAAACATCACATTAAGTTCTCACAAAAAAAAGCTCATATTTTCTAGTAACATACTCTAATAATCATTTTTTAAGCGTATATCTGGTATTTTTTTAAATGATTAATTCACCCTATATAAATATATATATAAATTATTTTTTAACAATTATTATTTTTATTATTATTATTAAAGATATAAATAGTTTCTGCTGGAAAAAACAAAGCAAGCAGACTTCCTTTTTGCCGAACATTTTTGTTTACGTAGCCCTTTCTCTAAATTTCAGAGAGGACTATGTAAGGAAATGTAGGAAAGTTACTCATGGGTAAAAGTGCAAAATAGGTTTAAATATTGACCAAATTTAGAAATCATATGCCTCACCTGTTTATTTAGCCGGCTTCTCTGGGAGCCCTGCCCAGGAAGGCCATTTAAAGGAAGACATTGTTAGTGGCCAGTGTGAAAAATGAATGAATTTGCTGTACCAGCATGCCGCTGAAAACACATCAGGCAATAACGTCTAAAATATCTCCTGCAGAAGTATGACATAATGTTTTACTTTTGGTTTTCTGTGGTAATGTGGGTGTGGGGAGTGGTGGTATGACATCTTGGGCAGCCAGTAATCTTTGTCGATCTCTGTGACTCGTTGCTAAAACAGCCAATGACTGTGATGGTAACGGCTGATGCAAAAATGTTTTTCTCTCCCCAAGACTCAGTTTGCTGTGGTTTTGACAGAGGAAACAGAGTTGAGGGTGGAGTGGCCTATTTGAAACGCATTGAAATACACGTGCTTTTGATAAGTGAGAAATACCATTTATAATACACTTATTAAAGTTATATTCATAGTTAATAAATAAGATTTAGTACAAGTAGCAAAAAAAAAAAGTTAAAAAAATAAATAAAATGCATTAGAACAGTGCCATCACTCATTTTGTTGTGTTGTGCACTCGCAAAATATACAATGAAAAGCACATGGGAAAAACGTGTCAAATTTGCATGCCCGTCCTCTCGAAAGACAGCATGTGCGTCATGAGAGCCAGCCACTTCCTGCTTCACTTCCCCTGTCTGTGTTTACAGTTATACTTTGTATTACCATGGAAACAGCTCCCTTGCCTACAGAGATTACAAAGAAAGAAAAAAAATCATCTGACATAATCTCGCCATTTAGGAAAATCTTATTCGTTTTAGTCTACCCTGTCAAGATGCATTGAACGCTGACCTAAATTTCTGGTGCTTTCAAAGAAACCAGTCCTTGAAATCTTCCACAGACTTTGCTCCTGTTTTAATTGACAGATTTCTAGTCAGTCTTTTTGATAATAAAGGCATCTTTATTTATGTCCTTCCTGGGCTAAGTGAGACTTTCCCCCTCCCATGGTCAGTCTCTTTTTTTTTTAGATCTCAGGGCTTGAACACTTAATGTGGGGTTGGTGGGGCAGTGGGTGGCGTTGGCTTATGGCAGGCTAATTGTAGACAGCTTATCTCATTCAATCTGCTATGAGCTACGGAACACAGTGACGCCACTTGTCCACATTCGTTAGGATGTTTATAGCCAATGTTGTTAGTGTTGTCAACCCACATCATATGCTGTATATGGAAGTTTAGAGTTTAGAAATCATGGTGTTGTTTATCAATCCATCCTCTGGACTTTATGACATTAGAAACATCTGTTATAAGCCTTAAATCAAACCTTGTTCAAACCAAGCCTTTTTACTAGAAATGACAAAATATGTGGACTAATGTTGCTCAAAGGAATAATACACCAAAAAAAAAAAAAAAAAACACAATCTGTCATAATTTAGTCACCATCAGTTGTTTTTTTCTTTTTCTTTTTTTTTCTTCAGAGAACACAAAAAGAGTCATTTAAAATGAAGTCAATGCTGCTCTTTTCCACACTATGAAGGTGAATGGGGACTACAGCTAATATTTGTTGAGTTATGAGTTATGACTGACTTTTATATTCCTCACACAAAGCTACTTTAGAAGACTTGTTGAAGTATAGTGAATCATTTATTTGGACTACTTTAATAGTGTGTTTATGGTCATTTTTAGTGTTTGGCAGCCACTGGTCACCATTCACTTTCATTATATGGAAGAGATCAGCATTAACATTCTTCGGTATAGTATTGTGTTCTCCTTTTGTGTTTTATAGAAGAAAGTCAGTCAAATTGAATGACATGAAGGTGAGTAAATCCTGCCAGATTTTTTTTTTTTTTTTTTTTTTCACCATACAAAACTGAAAGAGACTAACGCTTTCTCTTTTGGGAAAGTACCCTGTTTTCCTTTAAATGTTAATATTTCCTCAGAATCACATGATGTGTGTTATTCACAGTTCTGTCACATTACAGTCATATTTTATGTGGTTAAAAAAACACAGTCATGTTACTTTGCAGAACTGTTTGATCCTATGTTGTTTACACACTAAGTCATAAATTGATTATTAATCCAGGAATTCTGCCAGGTGACGTTGTTGCATTGCCTTACATGGTGTGGGATCTTGTTAATGCATACGCTCTTTGTAAACGGTGTTCTTACCTGAGGTAAATCTGTACGCTCAGAGAAAGGAATAACAGGTGCTGGCGTGAGTTCTTCCAGGCTCCTTTGATTAATTGTTAATCTCTGCTCTCACGCAAGAAACCGAAGTTGACGTGTTTGCTCTAGTTGTCATGTCTCTCTCCGTTGACAATTGGATGACTTTGTCCTTTCAAGGTCATGATAATGTATTCTTACCCTTTATTTGCAGTTTGCAGTCTTGTTAATGTTACATAGCTGCCATGACAATGTGTAACAGGGTCTATTTCCGTTTTTCAACATGATGAAATGAAACGTGCCAGCTTTCTTGCCACCAGTGTCCGATATTTTAAACTGTTCCTTTGCCAATGTTAATGGCTGAATAAAGAAAGCTGTTCAATGGATTTTTAAGTGTTTAGATTTAAATGCACACTTGGAACAGTAAGTTTAAATGAGTAGTTCACTTGTAAAAAAACAAAACAAAAAACTTTTGCTGATAATTTACGAAAAGAAATTAAGGTTTTTGATGAAACATTCCAGGATTTTCTCCATATAATAGACTTCATTGGGAACCAAATGGTTCAAGGTCTAAATGAGAGTTTCAGTGCAGCTTCAAAGGGCTTTAAACAACACCAGACGATGAATAAGGGTCTTATCTAGGACCCTTCGAATCATGACTCGAAAAAAGATTTGTTCATTTTGATGAACGAGTTTGATCAGGAGAGCCCCGAATGCACATCACAGAAAAGAGCAAGGCAAATTTGTACTTATAAAACTTAAACTTTTTTATTTATTTTTTAAATGACCGCTCGGTTCGCTATATAAGACCCTTATTCATTGTGTGGTGTCGTTTAAAGTCCTTTGAAGCTGCACTGAACCTGTCATTTGGACCTTGAACCGTTTGGTTCCCAATGAAGTCTATTATATGAAGAAAAAATCCTTGAATGTTTTCATCAAAAACCTTAATTTATTTTAGACTGAGGAAAGAAAGACATGGACATCTTGGATGACATGGGGGTGAGTAAATTTTCAGAAAATATATCAAAATATTTTTTTTTAAGTGATCTACTCCTTTAAATCCGCATATATAATTGTGTTAAAGATGTCAAAGTTTAGCATTAGACTCTTAAAAACTGTAATAATGAATTAACTTTAAGTTGGACAAGGGTCTTTTTGCAAGGAAAGCCTGCTTCCACCGAAGAATAAAAGTAATTGTGAGGTTTAAAATAAGACACACTGACATAAACTCACAATTGGGATGGTTGGAGTTGTTTCTATGCATTTTAGAAGCTCAATGAAACAAACAGTACCCTTCAAATGTTTGAGCTCCATTTTTTTTATGTTTTTGAAAGAAGTCTTTTATGGTCATCAATGCTCAGCCCATTCTCACTCCCAAGGCGTCACCTAACTGACGCCTTGGGAAGCATTTGGACATGCTTTAATATCTGACGCTTTAGGCGCCCTTTAGCGTCAGTTAGATGACGCCCTAGGATCGCGTGTACCCTACCCCCACCCCACACCTAAACCTAACCGCGTCCTTTAGCAGACGCTTTCCTTTAGCGTCAGTTAGATGACGCCGTAGGATCGCGTCATGTAAGTGACGCTAAAGGGCGCCTAAAACGTCAAATATTGAAGCATGGTCAAAGGTGATGCCTTGGGGTGAGAATGCGTTGCAATGCTGCATTTATTTGATGCATTTATTAGTCATATTGTGAAATATTACAATTTCAATTAAATTCATTGTAAATTTAAATTTATTTGATGGAAAAGCTGAATTTTCAGCATCATTACTCAGTTTTCAGTGTCACATGATCCTTCAGAAATCATTCTGATGCTGATTTGCTGCATAAGAAACGTTTCTTGTTTTTATAAATGTTGAAATTGTTGTGCTGCTGATTTTTGAAAAGATTGATACTGTTTAAAAAAAAATGAATTACATAAAACTGGTCTCAATCACAAACTTTTGAACTTAGTGTAAGTTCAACAAAACCATCTAAAATAGTCTCCAATCACAATAACTCAGAGCTAAAGTTATGTAAGCGTTTAGACTCAAGCACAATCAGTTACTTATCAAAACCACTCAATTACCCGCACATTAATTCTTCTTGTTTGACCTGCTTTTTAGGGGAGTTTCGAAAACAACAAACAATGTGTGTTTTTTTTAACCTCCTCAGTGTTAATTTATTCTGAAATGATACAAAAAAAGAAAAGAAAAAGAAAATGAAGTGTTTCATACAAGCCAAGGAGACAATATTGTCTCACCACACAACTGTTGCCTGAGTGTAGAGTAAACTACACCATTGTGTGTAAGCAGTGTAGATAAGTGTTGTTATCAGTTGCCTAGTAACACAGCAGCATCATATTTTGTGTGTTGTGACTCAAAATACATGACTACAGAGAGTCACACTTCAATGAAATGATGAAAATCTACATGATGAAATCATGTTGATATCTGTCAAATGTACAAACAGTTTCGTTCTCATATTAACTATTGTCATGGTATAACTATTTCTTGTTGCCAAAAAAAAAAAAAAAATAGCGCTTGTCTCTTTGTACAAACAGTTTCGTTCTCATATTAACTATTGTCATGGTAATATAACTATTTCTTGTTGCCAAAAAAATAAAAAATAACGCTTGTCTCTTATTTGACTTGTGTACGGTACATCTGGCATTCCACATCCAGTCACTGCTTGAAATTGTGTTACAAGACCTTTAACATGCCACTTACACAGGTGGGTGAACATGTCAAACTCCATTTTCTCTAATCAGCCCGCACATGTCTTTGAGTGTCTATGTTTAAGCAGCATTTGCTATACTCTCATTCAGGAAACACAAGCCTCCTACGACACAGATTTTAATTAGTATTAGATAACACGTCCTGCTTGGAGTACAAGGCCATATGCTACAGGATTTTCTTAAGCGTCTCTCTAACCATGATACACTTAATCACATGTCCCCAGTAATTAGTTGAAGCTGCTGCAATTCTTCTAAAGGAATAGCTCGAAGGAAAAATACTTATTTTCTGACAGATATCACCATTAAAATAGAGATATTGGCTCTGTCTCTGAACTCTAGGCTTTATAAACAACAACATATGTTGTTTTAGCCAATCAGAAATACTTTTGAGACATCCCTTGTGATGATCCTTGCAGACATCTCTTTAGCATACTTTTAAAAACAGTGATTAATACACTCTCATAAAAAAAAGGTACAGAAGCTGTCACCGGGCTGTACCTTTTGTACCAACACTTTTGCATCCAAAGGCTACATAT